CCCATAATAGTGTTTTTTTTAAGTTCTCTCTTTTCTACGCAAAAGCCAACGCAGATCTTAATGCAGCTACAGTGATTTCGATTTTAGGGTAATTAATTATTTTGGTGATTGGGTTGGTTTGATCAGCATCTGGGTTTTTGCAAAGGTACAGTTTTTTTTTTTTGTTTCTCTCTTTAGATTCGATATTTATTGATCTGTAGATTTTTCTGGGTGAGATCTCGATTTTCCTTGAATCTTCAGATTCTTTGTTTAATCTATAAGTGGTTAATCATTGGAAGTGTTGATTGATGTTCATCGATTTCGTCTGTGTGTTAAAGTTTAATCAGAATCTGATTCAAATAGGTTACAGTGTGAAGTGGGTTCTGAGCTTAGATTTACAAGGGAATTTTTTGGGTTGATGATAAAGTCTATCTACTTGATTTATAGGATCTAGTTCGATTCAAGGTTTTATATTTGCTTTTGCTTCAATGGTCCTTTTGTATCTTGGAGCTTTTTTTTTTGGTGTATTGATCCAATAAAAAAAGTTTCAGTTTTTAGCTTTCTCTGTGTAGTTCTATAACATTGAGCATAAAGAGTAATCATTTCTCAGATCAATTGCTTATTATCCGAAGTTTATAGGTTTTGTAACGAAATTCTATGTTTTATGCAGCATTCTTATTAGTTCCACGGATTCAAACATGTGGAAGTTCAAGCCGTTTGCTCAGAAAGAACCCGCGGGTCTCGAAGGTCGATATCTCGAAATAGGGAATCTTAAAGTTCATGTAAGAAACGTCATTGCGGAAGGAGGTTTCTCCAGTGTTTACTTAGCACAAGATACGAATCATGCGTCGAAGCAGTATGCTTTAAAACACATCATATGCAACGACGAGGAGTCGCTTGAACTCGTGATGAAAGAGATCTCGGTTCTGAAATCTCTGAAAGGACATCCGAATGTCGTCACGCTCTTCGCACATGGTATAATGGATATGGGGAGGAATAAAAAAGAAGCTCTTTTGGCTATGGAGTTCTGTGGTAAATCTCTTGTGGAAGTGCTTGAGAACAGAGGTGCTGGTTACTTTGAAGAGAAACAAGCTCTTGCGATTTTCAGAGATGTGTGTAATGCTGTCTTTGCAATGCATTGTCAATCCCCACGCATTGCTCACAGGTATATACGTCGGTTTATTAGA